TTCTTCAGTTTTTCTCTTGAAATGATCCTTTTAAATGAACCTTTTCCTTCTTTATCTAATTTCCTTTCTTTTAAATCGTGTTAATACACATTTTATAAAGACTCAACATGATACATTTCTGTTCTTGTGATTTTTTAAATTTTTATTTAACAACTTTATACTACTTTTATTAAAGATAATGTAGAAGTTTCCGATATATGATCAGAAAACCTTCACCTGTGCGCTCTTAAAAACCCATCCAGGTAAATCTGTAGTGGGTTTAGGGTGGTGGAGCCCCCCAGAGGCCCCCGGCTAACACTGCAGGTCACCCCCCCGCCCATGTGCGCTTTCTGCTGGTTGCAGCATTTGGTTACATAACCATTGAATATTACCGGCCTGTGTGTAGCTGTGTGAGTCTGTGTGTAGCCGTGTGAGTCTGTGTGTAGTCGGGTTTTAACTGGACTGTGCACAGCTTATTGGATTCAGTCAGACCAATCGGACGCCCTGCTGCAAAATCCACGCAGACCAGAGCCAGAACAGCCTCACAAGAAGAGGATTTGTTTAAGATTAAACTCTAAATACAGCTGCAAACGGCCGGGAAGTCGACAGGCCACGTTTTACATGTCAGAAGGAGAAAAAAGGTCCTGAGTCATTCAGATTATCGCTGAGGAAATGGTGCAGGGACCAAAAAGTCACATTTTAACCGCCTAAAATGATGAGAATGTTCCTTTAAGAGATTAATATTTAGTTTGAATATTTATGGATAAATATAAAGATCAATTATTTGTACAATTATTTGTAAATAAATGTTGTATTTAAAGATTGAAATGAATGATCATACATAAAATCAATAATTTAATTAATAAATTATTTTTAATTAAATCAAATTTTCAAAAGATAAATAATTGGTACAAATATTTGTAAACAATAATTACATTGATTTTTAACACTACTTCTTATCTGATGATGAAAATGGATGAATCAATAAATATCTGTTTGTTCACATTTAATCAAAAAAAGGTTTAATTTGAATTATTTATAATAGTGTAGCTTTTGAATATTGTTTTGGAAAAAAAAGAGAATAAATTATTGAAAAACACAAAGTAAATTTATTTCTTATGTATATATAATAATATTGTATATATATGTATATATAATAATATTAATATTATTCCTGGCATAACATTTAAGCAGATGTTTCTTTCTTTTTTGTGCTTTTTTAAAATAATCTGGTTTTATTTGGTTCATTGATCAATTGGCTGCTTTTATGAGGACGAGAACAGCTTCATTTCTCAGCAGTTTCTCTGAAAAAAGTCTCTTATTTTGGATTCTAATGGTTTATTAGTTGGTGGTATATTAGTCGGTGGTATATTATTAG